CTGCGAAAAGTAGGCAGGGTTCGCTGTAGGTTGGGGAATTCCCAGGGGGAGTCGCTGGTCGCTGAAGTCGTATTTTGCAACAATTATCCCCATCACTAGGATGTGCCCTGAACTGAAGGAGCTTTAAGGAGCCTTACTTGGCGCATTCACATGATTCCCTTTGCTTTTTGTTTTCGCCAGCGTCCCACTTAACAACTTTTGCTTCATTCTGATAGCCCTGTACCCGCCCGGATGAACTTATGGTTCTCAAAGGGGACAGATACGTGAATCTTCTAGTACTCGTAGCGTTCTCTTCTAATGGTAAGTAACTTCTTCTAATATTAAAGTAACTGAAAACTCACACATGAACTGTGTGAAACACTCTGGAAGCTTTCCATACCAAATAAATACTACGTAAATGGGCACGGCTGAGAAAAGTATGAGCAATCCAAAAACTGAAACACGTGGAGATACAAGGTTGAAATATATTCTAGTTCTCAACCATTTGATGAAGCGGCTATGCGACAACAGTTGATAGAAAACGAATGATACGAACACAGTCTTGTCACTTGATCGATTCAAAGGATCGGTGAAGAACGCGTTTGGCACCGCGCCAATTTCATCGCGCCTGACACCCCTCTTCGTCCGCAGCGAACTAGACATACTCCCTCATCGCGATTACGTGCCCTTTGTGCCCTTTCCATCACCATTTAGAGACAAAAATAACATTTCCTCAGGCACTGTTCACAGTCTGTGACCCTGACGAAACAGCGAAAAGCAATTAATACATATTGATCAGAGAATTGCCAACCTCTCTGGAGAAAGTGCCGCCGCGGTTCGGCGGTTCGGCGAAAAGCAATAGATGCGTATCGATTTCGCTGGCTCCGCCCTAGAGAAAAACGCCAGGGCGGTCGGGCTAGCGTTTTTCGCCCAACCGCTCCGCCGAACCGCCCGTCGATACGTATCAAAACCGTTTCGCCCAACCGCCAATCGATATGTATCGCGAAGCTTTTCGCCGAAGCGTTTCTTTCTAGAGAAACGCTGGGCCGCAGACTGTGAACAATGCCTCAAAGGCTCAGGCATGAGCACCCCTAAACTTCTCAGTACCTGTATCTCTGGGTGCGCCGTATACAGATAGGATGACAAGAGCTAGAGAACCAATAGTGAACACAATTGGCACGATAATAGGCACCTGGAAAAAGCTAATTTTGTGCTTTCATTTCACTTTCAAAAAAGGCAATATTTATCACACTTTAACAGTAGCAGACAGCCCGGGAACTGAATCGAATCACTTCTGAAACCAGGGCACAGCATTCGATGGGGATTTTGGTCGAGCTTTTACGATCCCCCTTTTTTCAGGGGCTGGCGCACTCCCCCCCCCATTCCTCGTGACGATGCTGACATGGCTCGACTGGGTGTGGTTTAGACTCCGGCGGAAAAAAAGTTGTCGAGCGGGGGGGGTATGTAGTAGGTAGGCATGCGACGTACATCGCGTACACAGTACCTATAACACAGAAAATTCATAAAACTCATGAAGTTGATTACGTTAACTCCAGCCAGCAAATACGACCTGCCCTCCCAACGAGGGCGACAATACGACCCACCGCTTCAGAAACGTCCGCAAAGCGAGTTCAACATTAAAAATAAATTTTTCCCAGCCCACCCCCCTTTGGCGGCCAAAATACGACCCCCCCCCCCATAGGGAATCCCCATCGAACGTTGTGCCCTGTCTGAAACGGAAGCCCGTTCTCCGAAGACATGCGCTGAGCTTTCATCCAGGCTATCACCCCCGTGACGGCATCCCATAGCCCGTCTGACCACTGCGACCAGCTGCGGGGTGCCAGCCAATTAGTCGCTTTCGCTGCCGCTGAGGCGTGTTGAGGTGGGAGGGGGGGGGTGGGGGGAGGAGGACGGTTGGCGGAACGCCTTCGTTGTCCACCGATTGTTGTTCATGCTTCAACGACTGGTGGAGAAAAGACTAACGCCGTGCCAAATTCAGCCCCATGACACACTTCACCGTCTGCAGCGAAAGCAACTGCACAACTTCCTGTCTGTTTTTCCTAATGAGGAACCTAGCAGGATGTAATCCTCGAAAGAAAAGCACTGTTGGCCTGGTTTGGTTCCCACCTGGTGGTTTGATGGTTTGGTACCCGAAACCATCCAACCAGCTGTTATACCGAGCTACATGTGTGGAGCGTACCTTCACAGGTCTACGTGCATTTGGCATCGACCATCGGAACTTAAGCAATGCCATTCCTACAACAGCAATAGCGAGCCAAACAGTGCATTGACTTGCATTAATGAGCGTATAGATATGTCCAGATATTAGCAAATACATAAGAGAAAGGAAACTCTGAAACAGTTCACTTTTTAGTTGATTTTTCAATTCATCTCATCTCTTTGGGTGCGACGGAATCTAGGAGATATATAGAGTAGCTCAGGAATGACTGAGATCCACACTTACAGCCCCTTCCCTCCCCGATTAAACTGTTGTCGAGCGACGGACGGGGAATAGTACTTTCGAAGCGTGTGAAATCGAGGAAGTTCACAACCAAAAATCCTTTTCAAGAGCTCTTACAACCCTCTCCCCCACGCCTCACCCTCCCTCTGGCGACCAAAGCGACTCACTAGCTGGGGATCCCGAACCTACTACGAGCTGTGGCCCGTAGTTCTACGGAGATGACCAATAAGGCTTCACTCGTCCAAGACAACATAGGATCTCCTCTCGAATGGTGCTTTTCAGAGTCACTAGCGCTGTTGGACTTAGGAGGGGTGAGGCTTTCCTAAGTTTGCAGATTTCTATTACAAGTTCCAGTCATCTTACATGTCTCACGACGGTGAGACTCGTCGATTGTTTTCAAGTGTAAACACTGCTTGCGCTAGTGCAGAGCCTCGGAAGGCCTTGTAAAGCCGCAGGCCTTGTAGCCCCGAGAGTTTACAGATTTCCACGGGAAGCGTCAGCAGGGACCAACAGGAACCATCAAAACGCCCCACCAAGCGGAACATCGCCTAAGACAGACCTAGAAACTAGCATAACTATCATGAATAACTTACAGTGAAAACCACTGACGGTATGGGTGTTCGAAGTTTTTTGTTGATCATCGTCAATATCACAGGCATATGACCTTCACGAGCACCACAGAAAAATAGCCTACAAAGCATTAAGTCTCTCAGATAGCTCCAGCCAAGTGCCTAGACTCTCACTCTGCCTCCAGTGCATACTGAAGTTAGAGTAGCGCCCACTCGTCAGCGCCATCAAGACACTACACTCTGCTGCAGCTATGAATCTCAAAATGGCGCTACTCTAATACAGGGGGGGGGGGCAAAAAAAAGTCATTCCGGCCGAGTCACATATGAGCGAAGTTTTCGCAGCCCAGACAGAGGAAGTGGATATGAGTACCAGGGCGGAAGATACCCAAGATCTTCCTCTATAAGCAGGAGCCGGCTGCCGCCATTCACCTTCATGTACACCAAAATATGAAGTCATCTCCAGTCG